CAAGAAGCTCATCCTTCCATGCCCTGAAATGGCATCCACCAATTGGTCTATCATGGGCAATGGGAAACTGTCTTTGGGACAAGTCTTGTTTAGGCTGGTAAAGTCTACGCAGACCCTCCACTTACTATTCTTTTTCTTTACCACCACTGTGTTTGATAGCCATGTCAGGTAATTTGCCTCTCTAATGGCTCTGGTTTTCAGAAGTCTATCTACTTCCTCTTTCACTGCCTCAACATGCATTAATATTGGCCTCCTCGCTCGCTGGATGACAGGTTTGGTTGACTGTCTACATTCAGCTTGTGACATGTGACCTCGGGGTCAATGCCAGGCATCTCGTAGGGCGTCCATGCAAATACCTCCAGATTTGCTCTCAGGAATGATGCCTCTAGTTCTCTTTCCTCTTCCTTGGCTAAGCCCGAGCCGAGAAGGAAAAAATGTTCTTCATCCCCTTGCTGGACTAGGATTTTCTTCAGTGCTTCTTCACTCTTCTCGACTGGCTCTTTGCCTACGTCCTCCAGGACTTCCACATCCTCTTCCTCAATCTCTGCTGTTTCTGGTTCTCGTATGCTGCAGGTGGATTTCATTGTTGCCATAGAGCAATTCTTTGCCTGCAGCTGATCCCCTTTAACCTCTTCTATTCCATGCTCTGTTGGGAACCGCAATAGCTGATACAATGTTGAGGGAACAGCCCCCATTGCATATAGTCATGGCCTTCCCAAGATAGCATTGTAAGGGGAGGGGGTGTCGATTATAGTGAACTCTGTTTTTATCCTCTTGGTGCCAGCTTGCACCTCCAGACTTGCTGCTCCCAGTGACCACGTCGGCGTTCTATTGAACCCAACCATTGGGCCATTGGATTGCTCCAAGTCATCTTGGTGAAGGCCAAGCTCCTTATAACACCTAACATACATGCTGTCACAAGAGCTGCCCTGGTCAACTAAGATGCACTTCACTTGGCACTCTCCAATCTGGAGGGATATCACCAAGGCATCGTTGTGTGGATGTTGCACTATCTCCAGGTCTTCCTCAGTAAAGGACACCACTGGTCATTGACTCTCGACTGCCCTAGGTCTCTTTTTCCTGACCTGATATACATGTTGCAGGTGTTTTACCTTTTGGGTTTCCCCTCTTATCTCATTCTCATTCTCATTTACCTTTGAGTGGATCACATTGATCACTCGAGGTCCGTCTGCCTGTGGTTGTGGTGCTGATGGGGGTGGTGTTGTTGGTGTCTGAGGCAGTCTTGCCTGCCCTTCCCTTGTCCTGGCTTCATCTACTATGTCCCTTAAATGGCCTTGTCTTACCAGGTCTTCCAGATGTGTCTTCAGGGCTCTGCACTCCTGAGTTAGATGTCCAGCTTTATTATGGTAAGCACAGTGCTTGTCAAGGCTTCTTTCCATAAACTCGCCTAGTACCCTTACCGGTGCTCTGTAGTAGGGCTGATTGCGGATTTTCTCTAAGCAGCCCTTAATCCTATTTCTGGTTTGTTGTAGCCACCATCACCTCAGCTTCGCTTCGGCGAGCCGTTTTTCTTCTCTGGTTTCGGCACCTTTGTCCCCGGCGTATCCTCCTCGGCCCTAGCATACTTTTCTATCCTGGCCATAAGCTCCTCTATGCTTTTTGGCAAAGTCTTTGCCAGTGATTTCCGAAGCAGGCAGTCATCCTTTAGGCCGTTTTTAAACGACACAACTGCCACTTCTTGGTTGCATCCTGGTATTCGGTTAAATACCTCATAATACCTTTTGGCATAGGCCCTAAGGCTTTCGTCCTCGCTAATTCTCAGGGCCATCAGGGCATCCACCCTTTATGGCTGCAGCTTGTTTGTCATGAACCTGGTCACAAACATCTCGGCCAGGCCTTCCCAGGTTTTCACAGTTCCTTTAGGCAACTTGTGAAACCAGTCCGATGCAATTTCTCTGAAGGATGAGGGGAACACCTTGTAAAGTAACGGCTCGTTCCCAATGTATAACGCCATCGAGTTCAGGTACAAACCGACGTGAAAGTTAGGGTCCGACTTACCATTGTAAATCTAGAACCTCGGCATGCTAAACCTCTTTGGGGCTTCGAATTTGTTCAATTCTATCGAGAATGACATTCTCGGTTTGACCGGGGAGGTTACCTCGGCATCTTGTTGCCTCCTCTGTAGGTAATCTCTTAGATCCTCCTTGGTCCATCTAGGAGCTCGGCTATCTCCTGACTTCAGCCTTTTCGGTGCACTACTCTCAGCTTCATTGTGAGCCCTTTTCGATCTTTCTCCATTAGTTGCGTCGAAGCACAACTCCTGCCCTTGAACATGCCGATGTTCTTTGGGGTCTGCTTCCTTGGTGCGATGTGTCCTTCTAGATTCTTCCCTTCTTGACTCTCCTCGCCCGACCTCCCTTGAAGGCCGGTGAGAGTGTTTTTCGCTGATAGTGTGCTGGGGGACTGTAGGGACTGTTTTCTGCCCATCTTGTTGGGCATCTTTCTTGGCCGCTGGAATCGGCGTATCTTGCAAGGGGAATGGTGGCTGCATGACATTACTCTGCATCATGAAGTTGACGCCCGTTTGTAGGTCCGCCAATTTGTTTGCCATTCCTTTCATCTCGTCGTCCCTCCGTAGGCATCTTTCCTTCCACACCTAGAGGTCATCCTCGTTATAATACTCGCTTCGGTCTGACTTCTTCGACGTGTCGCCCTCCTGGCTGGCGTCTTTTTCTCCGCGATTCTTATCTTGAGTCTCTTTGTTGCAGTTGTTTTCTTCGACGTCAAGGTCAATAGGTTTCCCACTCTCAGTAGAAATGTCGTCCCCAACCTTCTCTTTCTGTCCATTATTGGCCATCTATTCTCCTTTCTTTCCCACAGACGGCGCCAAATTATGTGTGTAGATTTCTGACCACTCTACCAAATTAGTATTCAGCTGGAGAGCCACTGACAGAATAGATTAAGCCCGAACGAACTGTCACAGAAAGAAGAGATTTCGGCGGTGGTTCGTCCACCCGGGGGTACTCCGACAATCAATTCAGTTATCTCTCAAAGATAGCAAAAGTGCTTAACTCACTATTCAGAGCATAAAAAACATACCATAGACCCATGGGGGTGCTTCTCTTTTATAGCCAATATAGTCCTAATCCCAGTAGAAGCCTAGCTTCAATGGACTTAGAATTACTGCTAATCTTGGACTCCTAGTAGGATTGGGATAAACTTTCTAAGGTCATGTTTGATTCACAAGACTAATAGTAAAGTATTAATAATCATATTAAATTAGTGTGGTATTCACTATCCAATTGGATTAATATCCATTGGATTAATAATCTCACCCCTACCCCATTACTAATAATCCTACAGATTTGTTGGATTAATTATCCATTGGATTAATAATCCTAAATCAAAATGTCAAAACAAACACAGAATAATTGGGCCAACGGATTAATAATCTCAATCCTATCCTCCAATCCACCCAATCAAACATGCCCTAAGAGTCTTATCTTTATCTAAATTGAAGTCATCTCTCATTCTAGGACTCTTGTCCCTTATCCGCTTATCCCGGATTCCGGTATTCTCGCAGATAACCTCGGCCTAACCGAGATGATCTCGGTGTCATGACCAGGACACGTGGCACCTCGGCTGGCACCTCGGTGACATCTTGGCCACGTGTTGTCATTCAAAAATTATGCCCCCACAGATTACATCGACATTTTTTTTTATAGATTATATACACAAAGATTCTTATAAAATGAATGACTCTAATTATTGAAATGAAGTTTGGACCGAAGATAATCCAGACCCTCTAAAAAAATAGGAAGATAATTATAAGAAAAAATTAAAATAAAAAAACAGCTGCAGTTACAATGGAAGGGTATTGAGACTTGGATTGGATTTGGATATCATTTTGTATGCAACCAATGCTTCTAAAGCTTGTTGATTGAATGCGGACATGCCTATGAGCCTAACCTTATGCCAAAAGTAGATACATATGTAACATAGAAAACAAGACAAATATGGGCCCATCCTTGCCTGCCGGCATATGACCTACTTGAGCTCACTTAGAGTTAGGATTTAGGATTGTTTGGGATGTTTTTAAAAAAAAAAAAATTAATTTTGTGATTAAATAAGTTGAAAATTAAAAAAATATGTTCGTCATCAATTTAAAAAATTAAAAAATCACTTAAATTTTTCACTCATAAAAAAAAAAAAAGACTCGTAGTTCGAAATTATTTGGCTCGAGAGTGGCCCAAAAAACATATCTTCCCTTCTCTTTTCTCTAACAACTACCTCTATCCGAAGCTAAAAGCCATTCTCTCATCTGCTCTCATTTTAGTCTCTTCTTTTTTCAAAAATCCGAAGCTAAAAAGCAGGTTGATTCTCTTCTCTTTTCTTTCAACCTGCTAAAAATCAACCTACTTCCCAAAAAATCAACCATTCTCTCATCCGAAGCTAAAATTATACCTGGGGTCTTAAGAGGCTAAAATGGAAGCCATTGTTAGGAAGATCTCTCTCTCTCTCTCTCTCTCTCTCTCTCTCTCGGTGGGTGGATTTGATTTTTTTTGGGTGGGTTTGATTTGTGTTTGATTGGGCTTGATTTTTGTGTTTGATCGGTGGGTGGGTGGGTTTGATTTTGATTTTGATTTTGATTTTGATTTTGTGATGGGTTTCATAGTTTTTAGAGAGAAAAAGTGGGTTTGCTTCAATATTGTTAAAACCTACCACTACCACCTACTACACCTACCACCACCTACTCCACCTACTCCACCTACTCCTACTCCACTACACCTACATCTCCTATATAAGGAGCCCCTCACCATTTGTAATATACAACATACATCAATCAATAATATATCAATTTTAACATGGTATGAGAGCAGGTTTAGAACCTAGTATTTTTTCGCTTCACCGGCGGGCGGCAACCTCACCTTCGCCGTCCGCCGGACCTCAACCTATTCCGCTTATTTTCTACGCATACCTTCCCATCATTGCCCAAATCCTCTCTCTCTCTAGAAATCTGAGCTTTGATCTGTTCATCCATGGCGGTCCTGAACCGTCTTCTGAGAAGCACGACCTTGTCACTCACACTCCGGAGGAGCTTATCATCTTCATCTTTGAATTCGGGAATAGGCCTCGGAGGAGCACCACCACCGCCGCTGTCTTCTCTTCATTTCAGTCTGGGTGGAGGAGGAGGAGGAGCAGACACGCCAAACACAAAGAACAGGAATGTGCAGTGGGTGTTTCTTGGTTGCCCAGGCGTCGGCAAAGGTACCTACGCCGGTCGCCTCTCTCACCTCCTCCGTGTCCCTCAAATCTCCACCGGCGATCTTGTTCGCGAAGAGCTCTCACACATACAGCTTTCTCTCCCTCGGCTATCCGGCCGCACCACCCACCAAAGCTTCGGGCAGCTGAAACTTCTCCCTCGTTCTGGTTATCTATCTCTCTACATATGGCATATATCCGGCTACTGAATGGGGAGGGACACATGAGAACACATGCATGAAGATTGATTCTCTCTCTCTCGACCCATGATGCAATTTCACTGAAACTCCACCGCCAACTTCCTATCTCATCTCTCTCTCTCAACTTTCTCTCTATACAGACAAAGCTCAAAGGAGACACCTTGTGAGCCAGTTATGGATTTTTTTGTTTAATCTACACACCACCATTCCCTATATAATTCACATGGGCTTGTTCCCCATCTTTTCATATAACCCATCATCCCCAAATTGTTTAATTATGCAATCCAAACCCATTCTTCTTTTATTTTTTTTTATTTATTTCTTTTTCACACCCATGTTCCCCACTGGTTTCCTTTCTTTTTTTTAATCTCTCAACTTTCCAACCTATCTTCCTTCACCTTTTACACCCCACTCACCGACTCCCTCACCACAGCATAGAATATCTTTATTTCTTTATCTTATCTTTCTTGTGTTCCATTTTTCAACAACAAAAAAAAAAAAAAAAAAACTCTTGCAGATTCACATTACCCCCACTTTCCTTTTATTTATTTTATTTTCTTTTCCTTACCTAATACAAAAAAACAATACAATAAACTAAAATAAAAAAAATAAAAATACAAATTTGCACAACAACTTTGTTTTATTTATATTAGGGATCAACCCTGATCACAGTTCTCCACACCAAAAAAAAAAAAAAAAAAAAAAAAAAAAACAACACCACAAGATTTGTTTTCTTTTCTGCAGACGGCCACCCACCGACCTCACTTTTTCGCCTATTCCGCCGGTCTTTTCTTCTTGCCTCCGTCCTGGGCGGCCCTTGACGGTGTTGCCTCCGTGTTTCCCACTCCACTGGGCACGATCACTCCACCCTGCTCCTCCACTACAGCATATGGTGGACCTCCAAATCGGAACATCACGGTTGCCTTCCGCTTCAGCTCCTTATTTTCCGCCTTTAGCGCACTTATCTCTGCTCGCGCCTCCTTATACATGTGCTGGAGCAGAGCCAGTTGGGCGTTTAACTGTTGCACCTCATTTGTCCTACTCTGCAGCCGGTGCGACAAGTTTGTGACTGTAGTCATGGTCTCCACACATGACTTCAATGTATACTGATTGGCCTCAATATCCGTTTGCACTGCCATTTTTTGCTCCACTGACCGCATCGGAAAGTTCAACGGAGCAAAACCAGAGGTGTTTGGTTGAGGTTCACGGGCCACCGCACCAGTTATCTCTCTTGTTGACTCGTTGAGGTTGGGAAAGAGAGTGAGCAGACCACGGGAAGACGAGGCCATTTTCTGGGCACCAGAGTGTTACAGACTCTCTCTCTCAGCAAAACGAAGAGTTTTTCAGAGGTTTTTCGCAGGTTTCTGCCTCAGCCTCAGCCTCCGTCTTGGTTAAATAGCCAAGGCAGACACGCGCATAGCGCGCCACTTGACGCCAGACGACAAAACGGGCGCGCAAGCCAAGGTAGTCACGCGCCTCGCCATCATGTCCGGCACACCTTTTGATAGATTGGGCACGCCTTTTGAAAGATTGGGCACACCTTTTGAGGGTGCGACTTTTACAACGGTCCGACATGACCCCCTAAACTGTCCCAACATTGATTCCGGTTAGCATCTCCCTCGGTCCGGTGTGACCTCGTCAACTGTCCAGACTTTATCTGCTACAACGGTCTGCCACAACCATCCAGTGTCCTCTACCACATTATGACACAACCATCCAGTGTCCTCTACAACGTTATGACACCACCATCCAGTGTCCTTTACAACGTTATGACACAACCATACAGTGTCTTCACCAACGGTCTGACACGACCATACCGTGTCTCATATCCTCTTTTCTTTTATGTATTAATATATTTTCTTGTTTTGTTACTCTCTCTAAACTCAAGTTGGTTAGTTCCTCTCCCCCTTGAGTTTGCGGGGGACTGTTAAAACCTACCACTACCACCTACTACACCTACCACCACCTACTACACCTACTACACCTACTCCACCTACTCCTACTCCACTACACCTACATCTCCTATATAAGGAGCCCCTCACCATTTGTAATATACAACATAACCGTGATATGGTGGTACACACTTTTTAGTGTGTGTATATATATTTAGTGAAAGTGCACAACCACACTGTTGCATGAATAACTTCAAAACATAATCTAATGAAAACTAACTTACCCACGTAAGTTCCTCCAATGCTTGCACCTTTCTGCTTGTGAAGAAGGCAAGCTGCACAAAGGGAAGACACAAACTATATTACATTCCAGACTTAAATGATTAGGTCAGCACCACAAGTAATGGCCAGGAAGAGAAGGATGTGCAAAAGTATATGAGATCCATACATGATAATAATGATGGTCAGGAGTCTCCACCTCCACAGGTATCTCAACCAAGTTTGAATCGAAACATCTTGAGGAATAAGAAATAAATTTATTAAATATTAAAACCCAAATGAAGATTTAACTTCAGAAAACAACAAAAGAAGTAGAAGAAAATAAGCAGAGAGCGATAATAGAGACGAAGCCGGAAAAGGAAGACGAAGGCGGAAAGGAGAAGAAGACAAAAAAAGAAAAAAAATGCAAAACAACGTCATTTTGCATTTTCGAGCCATTCGAGCCATGCAACTTTCGAGCTACGAATCGCTGTTGAAAAAAAAAATCAAAAAATTAGATTTACAAAAAAAAAAAAAAAAATCAAAAAATTATTAAAAAAATCAATCTCAAATAACCTCTCAGACATATAAACATGCACATGTGTCCCGCACTATTCAAATAGATCAGTAGACTGCCGATTTTAGGCAATACCATTGATTCGAAGAAAATTATTGTCTCCACTACATTTTTTGTGTGGATCTAGTCATCATCTAACAATTAATGATGTAATAGTTAAATCAATTGTTAAATGATAGCTCAATAAAAATAAAAATAAAAAGTGGTAGAAAAAGTCCGAATCATTGATTCAAAAACTATCAAAATCTTGATGCCTCGTGAACTTTTGGCATGAATCGGCCTCATAAGATAGGAGAAAAGAAAGACCCAACCACAAAAGGAAATCTTTATTTTATCAATTGCGGAATAAGTTTTGGAAATTTAGTTAGGTATGGTTTTGTATGACTTGTTTTTGTAATTATTTTTTAACTTTTTTAATAATTTTCTAATTTATTATTGTTATTTTAACTTTTCAATGTTTTTAATTAAAAAGACAATTTCCCAAACTTCTTCACAACACTTGGTTGATTTGTTAATGTTAAGTTTATTTCTTTGATTTGCAAAATATATATATACAAGAAAAAAATGGAAAGATTCAAAAATATCAATTGTTATTCAGAGTTTCACAAAACAACCTCAAAATGATCCTTATAATTAAAAATAAAAATTTGAGAATCAAAACAACTATATCAGTTGTTTTATAATAGTGATAAATAAAATTTGAGAAGCAAGTGTATGGTGGATCCGTGGCGCAATGGTAGCGCGTCTGACTCCAGATCAGAAGGTTGCGTGTTCGATTCACGTCGGGTTCAATTCCCATCTGTATTTTTTACCATCGATTTGAATTGGTGAACAATTCTTTCACAAATATTTTTTGTTTTTTAAAAAAAAAAAGAAAAAAACCATTTTTAAGAATTAAACTTCCGTTTGATTTGAATTGGTGAACAATTTTTTCACAAATATTTTATTTTTAATTAAAAAATATTTAAAATTTTCATGAAAAAAATAAAAAAATTCAAAAATAATATTCAAGAATTAAGCTCCCGTATCTTATTTTGGTTGGTTGTATCTGCCAGAGACTTAGGAGTTCTGCGTAAAATAAAACATGGTAAAGTATCAAAATATATCAATTCAAATCTATTTGTAAAATTATAAAAATTAATGGATTAAAATTTACCAATTCGCTTACAAATCGGTTCGAATCTATTTGTGGAACAAAGGTGGGTCAAATTATAAAAAAAAATAATGCTATATGTATCAATTAATGTACACACCAGTGTACTAACGGATGATGTGGCATCATTTGTATAGTTTTGGGTATTTGTAACTTATATAATAAATATACTCAATAACAATATCATAAAACTAGGCTTTTTTGGCAAGAAAAAGCCCAGGCTTTTTTGGCTAAAATAGTCACAAAAAATAAAATAGGCTATTTTAGCCACAAAAAACAAAACATCAAATCCAACCTATAATCATTACAATCCTCTCTCACAAAAAAAGTAAAAAAAGCCAAAAAGCCAAAAAGTCCTTCTCAGCCCAGGCTAAAATAGCCAAAAAGTCAAAAAGCCAACCCACTTCCCAAACGGAGGCTAATTGGTATATGTAGTACCACCGTTATAAAAATTATCGGATTAACATTTACTAATTCGCTTATAAACCAATTCAACCCACAATGTGTAACAATATCTCTCTAATCATTAATTGCATTCATTTTTATTTGATATATTAATTTGTGAAATCTAATTTTGATTAGCATCACATATGCAAATAAATTATGAGTTTTGTATCAGGATCTAAAATAAATAATAGTTTTTTGTTTGAAATATAAAATTATAATTTTTTTTTGTTCATTCTTATTATATATTTGTAACTCACTCAGACCATTGGTTTGAAACTATTAAAATATTCAATTGTCATTTGGCAAACAAAAATTTTAGTTAGCTTTTTGGGATTAAAACTTTTTTAATTTGGGACTAAAAAGTTCGTTTGTATTGGCTTTTTTTAGTTTTTTTAAAGTTTTGTAAAAGAAAAAATGAAATAATTATAATTTGGATGTGACATTTTATTTTATTGACTTTTAACATATTTTGCATTTTAATGACTAATTTAGTCCCAGCGCAACCCAACCCAACCCAACTTAACTTAACCCACATTGGTTTGGTTTGAGAAGTGGGTTGACTTTTTGACTTTTTTTATTATTTTAATCTAGGGCTAAAAAGCTTGGTTTGAAAAGAACTTTTAGCTTTTGTAGTTTTTTTTGACTTTTTTATAAGAGAAGGAATATAATGATTATGAGTTTG